CAGCGGCGTGCCCTACTTCTACCTGAGCCCGCTACAGCTCTCCGTGAGCAACCTGCAGGTGAGCGCGAAGGGCCGCGCGGCTCCCGGGCCCCGCCGGCCGCTTGGGCACCGCGGAGCTCGCGGCCCCGGGGCCGGCCACGGGCGGGGCGGCCGGAGAGCGAGCCTTTCGTCTCTCAACACAATTGTGCCCGGGAAGGAGAGCGTGGCTCGTGGAGATAAGAATTTGAACCCGGCTCAAATGACTGTCTCTCCTGTGCCGCGCTGGCCGGGCGGGCATTACAGCATCCCAGCTGTTGGGCAACTCAGTACCAGGACCTTTACAAAGGCCCCGCCACTGGGCGACGCACTTGAGGTGGATTCTTAGCACCCGGAGGACTTCTCACCCCTGAGTCGTCTTGGGGCTTGGTGTCTCCATTAACTGGGCTCTTATTATTAATTATTTTACAGGGAATACAGATTGTTGGGTAGTTAAGCACTTTGCATACGTGACCTCAGGGTTTCTCTTTCTTACCCCTCCTTCTGAATGAAGAATTTTCCCTTCGCACCAAGAAGCTAATATACAACATCGTGGACGATTGCAATGATTATTGCAAGTTTTAGGCCTCCATATGCACAGTGGCTTCCTCAGTAGTGAGCAGAACTGACCGAAGGTCTGTCTCCGCAGGGCCAAGCTTACAACTCTGGTGAACCTCTGCTTTCCCAAGGGTAGGATCACAGACACATAGATCGGGAGGCTAGAGCCATAGCAGTACAGTCCAGGAATGGAGCCTGATTTGGCGGAGGGTCTCTTTCACAAAGATCCCAGATTTGAGGTCAATTGGGAAAACACAACATTGTTGATAAAGACAAGGTAAAAGAATCTGATATTTGATCAAAAACCTGCCATATGCCAGTCTGATCTTCAAGGCTCATTCATTTTCCATTTATTGTTTCTTCTAATAGCTCTTTGAGGCAGGTATTACTATCCCCATCCTCCAGATGTAGAACTTGAGTCGAGGTTTAGATTAAGTAATTTTCCCAAAGCCAGCCAGCGGCCAAACCCTCGTTTCACCTCAGGTCCATCTGCCTTCAGACCACAGGTGGCCCATGAGCTCAGTATGTCCCAGAGACCGGTTTACTTTGGCCCACATGGGGTTCTGTTTTGTTTTTAATAAAGTCTAAATTTCTTAATTCTCTTGAAAAACTGAAATATCTATTGACACTTAGTGCCTACATTTGCTGAGCAAAAGCAGAAGCAGCTGCCCCCCTTAACCAAGGCACATACATGCCAGTTCACCGGGTTTTTTTTGTTTGCTTTTAATTTAATTTAATTTAATTTAATTTTAACTTCTCAATATACATTGTAGTTCAAAGCAGAAGCAGCTGCCCCCCTTAACCAAGGCACATACATGCCAGTTCACCGGGTTTTTTTGTTTGCTTTTAATTTAATTTAATTTAATTTAATTTTAACTTCTCAATATACATTGTAGTTGATTTTCTTGTCCCTGTACCCGTTTCTCCCCCCACCCCAGTTCACCGTTTTTTAATTCCTTGCCTACTCCACTCCTTTAAACATTTGCTCAACACAGTTCATTTCACTTCATCAGTGATGCTCAACTTTAGCTGCAAATCAGTCACCTGGGAAGACTTTTTAAAATGCATTGCCAAGGTATTTTTTTAAAACACATTTTATTCTAAAATACTCCTCCCCCCCCAAAAAAAAACACAAAATAAACAAAACAAAACAGAACCCTCCCTGATGATCCTAATGGGGGAAGTGGGAGGATTGAGAATGACTGCTATATGTGATTACATTTGTGAGGTGGCTAGGGAGCTGCTGGTATTATCATCCCCATTGCAAGAATGACAAAACTAAGACTCAGAGGTGCAGCAGCTCATATGTGACCAGCTACCTAATGACTGTCAGATGGGGCTCCACCCAGGTCTTTGACGTCTCTAGTAGTGCAGAACCTACCCAGGACTTCAGGTTTTTATGATGGCAGTGAACAGATGTGGCTACAGCAGAATTTGATTCTGATTCCATCAATTAACCAGTCAGGAATAATTTTGCTTTCTACTTTTCCTCCTTTTGACCTCCAGGATGCACTTCATGTCTTCTCATTGAGGGGGTTGCAATAGTTTCACAGGAACAAGAAGACCTAGGGGTGGGACTGCTTCTTTTTTGTAAAATGCCTGTCCTGTGTAACTTAGAGATAGGTTGTGAATTTCAAATGTACTTGCCATGGGGATGTTTCTTTGTATTTTTTTTTTCTTTTCTTTTCATTGTGACGTTTTTGTACAGTAAATGTTTATAGGAAGATGTTGTTGATGTTAGGTAATGGGAATGTCAACCTGTGGAAGGAAACTGAGGCACTGATAAAGTATCAGAGAGTTTATTTGAGCCAATAGGAGGACTGCAGCCCAGGAAAACACAACTAAGTTGCCTTGGGATGTGCTCTCCACAATTTCTATATTTTTATAATTGTAGAAAAGGGAAGAACAACGAGGAAGAAAGAGAACAGCTCCTTAATTAGTACATCAGCCTTTTCATTGGTTACATAGCATTACATAGGTTAGTAACTAACTGGTGGTCCTTAGTAACATTTTACATGTACACATCTATGATTAAAGGTCATAAGATATGTTTCTCAGTATTTTTAAGTTAATTTGCAATTTGTTTAGGCATCAGCAAATGTAGTTCTTAGGCTACAATAGTCATGTAAACATTTTCAGGATGTGGAGACATGACTATTGACTCATTCCAGTCCTTTCATGGCTTTAAGAATTTTGCTGACCTCAGTCAGAGCAGATTTTCATTTATCAGTACCAAGTTGGGCTGTAGAGCCAGTGAATCAAAAATGAAATCTTTGGGTTTGATTCTTTGCACCAAGATCTCTCACTATTGGCCTCCCATCCTTCTTGGCACTCTTCTCTTGTGATATGATCCTTTCTTCTCTGGTCACTATTGATTTTTTCTCTGACCCACGTTGGGCTGTAGAGCCAGTGAATCAAAAATGAAATCTTTGGGTTTGATTCTTTGCACCAAGACCTCTCACTATTGGCCTCCCATCCTTCTTGGCACTCTTCTCTTGTGATATGATCCTTTCTTCTCTGGTCACTATTGATTTTTTCTCTGACCCACTAAAAATGAGTGTCTCGCAATTTCTACTTCCTATCCCTCTGTTCTCAGTATAATCCTGGGAAGATTGTATAGAGTCCTGTCACTTCATTCCTACTTACTAACATTCACTTCCAAATTTGTGTTCATTTCTGACCTCTGCAAAGTTCTGTATTTCTAACTGTATGCTGTTCATTTTTACTTCATTAGTTTACCACCACCTCAAATTCAACATGTTTAAGTCCTGTCCTTCGTCTTCCTCCTGAAACCAGCTCCTCTTGATCTTCTGTATTTCTGTTAATTGTCTTCTTCTTGCCGCCTCCCCAAATTCCTTAGTTCCCAAGTCCTACCAATTTTTCTTCTGCATTCTTTGCTACCATCCCTATTCCTTCCACTTTATTCCTACACCCCCTCCTTAGGGTGAGTCCTTATCACCTCATGCCTAAAAGTGTGAGAACAGGTCTTAAATAGTCTCCTCATCTGCCCCTGTGTACCTGCCAACCCACCAGGTTTACGTTAACGCAGTACCTCTCACAGCATTGCCCTCTGCCCAGAAACTTTAACCACATCCCAATGCCTATTACTACATACGAATCACCTGGGGTGTTTGTTTAAAGTGCAGATACCTGGGTGGGGATGGAGCCCAGGAACCAGCATTTTAACAAGCCCCCTAGGCAGGCAGTTCTTGGAAAGCATGGCCAATTGGCCTACAACATGCAATCTAGACTCCTTAGCTTAGATGGAGCCACCCTCAGGCCCTCTAACCCCTGCCCCTCCGAAAGTCTCTTTCCAGCAAATTGAGGTTCTCGCTACTCTCCATCATATCTTACGTTTTCCCAGTTCTGGGTGTTTTGCAGTTATCATTCCCTCTACCTTTAATATGTCCTCCACTTCCATCCTGATTTTGAATATGTTATAAGGCTCCCTGTAATTTCTATATCACTCCAAGCTATGCTGACATCTCCTTATGCTGAACTTCAAATACACTTTACCATTCACTTGTCAATTAGTTATGTAGTGCCTTTTGACCTCTTCTGTATCTTTGTTTTGCATTTAAGGTTTGTGTATGTCTGACTTTTCAACCAGATGACAAACTCACAGAGGGGAGAGACCTTATCTGAGCACATCCTCACCCGCCCGCCCCCTTTTTTGGGTCTCCTGTAGTGCCTTGTCTAAGTTTCTAGACAGCAGATATTTGGCTAAATGATTTCAAGGAAGTCTCTTTATGACTCACTGTTTTGATGGATCAGTGTGAAATGGCAAAATTCTCCCCATAAGGCACTTGGGATTTAAAGAGCTAAATAATCTGAAATGTAATGTGTGAATTTTGCTATGATCCATCAACAATGCCCTTTATGAAGCCGGTTTCTAAATTCTAGGAATTAAGAATTTCGTTTGCCTCACTTTTTGAATCTGAGATAAGAATTCTTTTCTTGTTTTTAGAGCAGGAACGAGGAACTTCTCCAGTTTTGAAATCATGTGACAGTTTCTGCTAGCATAAGATAACCAAGCAGCATGATTCAGCTACTTTCTTCCTTAAATTGTATAATTGGTTAGTTGGGCAATTATGATATTTTTATGCACTGGTTTCATATTAGAGTTTAACCCTTCAGTTCTTTCAGTGAAGACTATAGCCAGCCTTGAATTTAGGTGTTACTGTAATTATAATTCCTCTGAGCAATGTGGAACAGATTCAGAATTTAAGAAAAAAAAATGTTAAAATAATTCTTACTGGGTCAGTTAACTTTAAATATAACTCCCACCCAGTGGGGGAGGGGGGAGGGCACGATCAGTCTCTATCCAAGTAGTATTTTTCCCCTGAGTAGAAGGTGGTATTCTAACAATTCATCATTTCATGGAAGAACAGTCAAGCTCTAGGGAGATTATGTATGCAACTTGCAAAATTTAGTACCTCTCTAGAAACCATATTTCACATGAGATTTCACATTTTCTCTCTACAGGAGAATTCGTATGCTACACTGACCATGTCTTTAGCACAGACTGACTTCTGCAGGAAACATGGATTTGATCCCCAAAGTCCACTGTGTGCTCACACGATTCTGTCAGGGACTGTGACCAAGGTAAATAGTTATCCTACATGAAGAGAAATGAGTTTAGTAGAGCATCATCTTATGAACTATGAAAGAAGAGATATTTTGAGAATAAAATGAAATTGTGATTGAGATGCACAGTTAGAACATGTTCTAATGTGTGAAGTAATTCCATGAAAACTAGAGGTTTTAGTTACTTGCTTTCATATAGATTAGATACTTATGGGGAAAATGAGCTATTTTCTGAAGCAAAACAGATATAACGACTATAAAGCTATATAAAATTACTCTTGATAAGGAACTCTGCTCAGCCAAAGCTCACTATTCTCCATCATGTTTTGCATTATGTAGTATTTCTTGTGTCTGGGTTCCTTTATTTTAAGGAACTGTATTTTAACAGTGGTTTAGAGCAGAGAGCATATTAAGTAGGCCATCAAGAGGAGTATCCATTACTAAAAACAGAAAGTAAAGTTAGACAGTTTGGGCTGAGTGCTGGGGGAAAGAGCTTAAATAAAATCATGGCCAGGGCAGTGGGCAGTGTCATGAGCACTGACCTGATTGCAGAGCCAGCAGATTTGCTTTAAGACCTTATCAATCATGAATATCTCAGACAGGTTTTATTTATGATCTGGAAATTCTACATGGATGCATCTCTGTAGTTGAGTGTCCTTCACTGGCAGGAGAAAGGGAGAGGAGTGGAAAATGCCCTTGAGTTCCATTGTGCTTCTTTTAAAGATTCTTCTCCTTCATGTACGCTTATCTGTGTATTTAACCTGTGCAATTATGGGATAAGTATGCTAATGTTACATGTCTTAGGCACCAGTATCGTTTGATTATAGTACCATATGCCAGTTTCTCTGGTAGCTCAAAATTACTGTTGAGCCATGAAAATTGGTACTCATGATGGTTTCCTACTTCATTATACCACATTTGAAATCTTTATTGTTCTCTTCACTTTTCCAGCTTCCTTTATTTTCTCTTGATTCCTTAAGATCAGTATTTACAAGTAAATAAATGCTTAGGATTTATAGCATGCTAGAAGCACACATTCTTAAATAAGAATTATTTTCTTAAATAAGAAAAAATGTTACTGCTTTGAGGATGTTTACTTCACATATGTCCTTTAGGTGAATGAAACAGAAATGGACTTTGCAAAGCATTCATTATTCATTCGACACCCTGAGATGAAAACCTGGCCTTCCAGCCATAATTGGTTCTTTGCTAAGTTGAATATAACCAATATCTGGGTCCTAGACTTCTTTGGTGGACCAAAAATAGTGACACCTGAAGAATATTATAATGTCACGTTTCAGTAAGTATTTGCACATCTCTCACCTTTCTAACACTGCAGCCCTTATCAGTGGTCCTCAATGTTCTAAGGCAAGAGGGGTTTAAACATTTCAAGTGCTGTGGACCCTTTTGGCCAAGTTATAAAAAAAATTTTTTTTTTTTATAAGATGACTGGTAAGGGGATCTTAACCTTGACTTGGTGTTCTCAGCACCACGCTCTCCCAAGTGAGCCACGGGCTGGCCCTATAAAAATATTTTTGAATATGTGGTGTAGTGATATGTTGGCTTTTTTATTAACATGTTAAATATAAAATCTAGTGATGAGTCTGTAACTTTACTTTCAACGTAGTTAGAACTGAAGACAATCTTTTAAAACATCTGCAACAACTGTAACATGGTATGAAAGTATCTGTGATTTCTATACAGTTGACCCTTGAACAACACGGGGTTTAGGGGCACTGACCCCCGCTGAGTTGAAAATGTGCGTATAACTTCCCCAAAACTTAACTCGTAATAGCCTGCTATTGATAACCTCACCAATAAAATAAAGTCAGTTAACACATATTTTGAGTGTTACATGTATCATATACCGCATTCTTACAATAGAGGAAGCTAGAGAGAAGAGAATGTTATAAAGAAAATCATAAAGAAGAGAAAATACATTTACAGTACTATATTGTATTTATTGATACCATAAATTTATGTTGTCTGTTCACACATTGTCTGTTTACACGTTGTCTGTTTCCACTTACAAGTGAACTCATACAATTCAAACACATGTTGTTCAAGAGTCAACTGTATTTTTGCTGAAGACAATCGCAGATGTGCTGTCACCACTATGGTTTATTGTTGGCATTCATCATTGAAAGAAATTATTAATTTTAGTTAGAGCTTAATAAAAATGAAAAAAAAAAAAATTGGCATTCATCATTGAAAGAAATTATTAATTTTAGTTAGAGCTTAATAAAAATGAAAAAAATAATAATAAGTTCACAGACCCCCTGAACTCTACCTACAGGCCTGGGCACCAGGTTGAGACTGTGTTTTAAAGCTATGCTTATTGGGTCCTGGACAGAGCCCACTTATGACCCATTGTGGCATTTTCTCACGAGAATCTGACTCGGGTGCTTCTGGACTGTGAATGATCCCATCCCCATCAGCCCTAGGACTGTGAGTGCCTGTGGGATGTGTGGTTTATCCCGCTAGGAAGTGGATGCTTGGAGGGGAGGATGAGACAGAGGAGACCACAGGAGAAAATGAAGGAGAGGCAGGATCTGAAGGTGGAAAGGGACAGAAAAGAAGGGTGTGATCAGATTCTTTGGAATTAGGTCAGGATTAAAATGAAGGAATACAAGGGACTGGTGCTTTTCCCGGGTGACACGGGAATTCTGGCATATGTGACATCCACAAGCCTAACGGGAGGTGGTAACAACAGCAGCAGTAACAATAGCAGCTAGGGTTTGTTGAGTGCGGATTACTGGCTGGGTGCTGTACTGCCTGGTTGCTTTACATGCATTAACTCATTGAATTCTCACTGCAACCTGATGAGGTAGATACTGTTGTTCCTCATCTGGAGATGAGGACAGTGGACAGCTGGTGCACAGAGAGGTAGGAAACTTGCCTAAAGTCTCACAGCCAGGGAGAAGTGCTGGGATTCAAACCTGAGTCCTCACCTCGCTTCTAACCACGATGCTGTACTACCCTGCTAGTGATCTCACTGGTCACTGGATGGACTCCTAATCCAGTGCAACTTATAATGACTGCTGTTTGGAGAAATAATTAGAGTGATAATAAAAAGCTACATTTGTAGGTTATAGCTCATGGAGGGGCTTAAATTCTTATCATTTATTTATTCTGTGTCTTATTCTGTTGTAGAACGGTCCCATGTTGAACTATTGACTCCTCACAGTGATTGTAGATTTCTTGACAGCAAAACTCAGGTTTTATTTTTTTTTAATTTTTATTTTTTAAATTCCATACAGAGTCTAGGGTAGTGCAGGGCACAGAGCAGATATTTAGAAGGCACTTGCTGATTGTCAGGTTGATTATTTGAGATAAAGACTCTCAAACTCTGTTTGAGTAAAGAATCCAAGAGTCCCAGTGTTTGTCTTGCTGCCCTTGCACTCAGGAGAAGAGACGTGGGCCACTGATCCTCTTCTGGGCTGGCAAAGCCGTCTTTCTTTATAGGGATACAGATGTAGCAATTACGACATTATTACCAGGCAAGAACCTATCAAGGAGGAGGACGGTAGGAATGACTGGCCTGCTCTTTGAGGTTAAAGTTTACTTTCACAGGGCATAACAATCTCCGAAGTGGAGTTATTTTTGTATAAATAACATGCCCAAGGGCAGTGCTTGCCTTAGTAACAGAATAAAATTGTGTTTTCCTGTAAGTCTCCCCACTGACTAAATGAATGAAATAGATACTTTCGAGGTTCCAACTTTATTATGCAGGCAAGGGAGCACTTTTCTGCAGCTCAGAGATAAGACAGGCCATTTTCTCCTTGTCTTGAGAAGAGGACCAAAGACTACAGCAGGATGTGACTCCATCTGAGGCACATACCAGAACCCTACGATGGTCTGCAGCTCAGAGATAAGACAGGCCATTTTCTCCTTGTCTTGAGAAGAGGACCAAAGACTAGAGCAGGATGTGACTCCATCTGAGGCACATACCAGAACCCTACGATGGGCAGTGCCTGCAAGCTGCCCTGTCTGACCAGGTGCCTCTGCCTATTAATAGTCCATTTCAGAGTCTGGGAGCAAGACCCCTGCCCATCCCACCCACCCAGTGTGCCACCAGAACTCAAATAGTTCTGCACATTCTTGCAGATTCCTGCACACTCTTGGGGAGCTTACCTCACAGGTATTCTGGAGCTTTCCCCAAACTGGCAGCCACCTTACTTGGCTTGCCCTGATCAGTTTTGGAAGATATTATTTCTCCAAATACCATGAAGCCATCTGCCTCTGAAACCTGCTTCATTCAGATGGAGTCTTGAGAAAGCATCAACACAAGTACCACCTGTTAGGGCTAGGTGGAGCCTAACTGAAGGTGGTTTGCATCATTGGACTGTTGTGTCAGGAGCATGTTTGCATACTGAGTGGAAGGTTTAAGTGTTTGCAGGAGGTATTTGCTGGCATCCTTGAGTGAGTTCTCATAAGTATAAGCATTGCCTCCTATCATTACTAAGTCTGAGCAGCAGAATATTTGTGCTAAACCTCATTTTATCTCCTCTGGTGCATCCACATATTTCCTAGCAAAGGCAGAGGTAATGAAATGTTATGGATTACAAACTTGTCTAGTCTCCATTACCTGGAGATGGATTTCCTGATTGGCGGTGGCTAAGGCTGCAGCAGAAAGGCGGGACAGGTTCACCTCCCAACTGGGCTCAGTATCATTAGGCACTAGCTAATCACTCATCTTTTGCCTTGATGTTCAGGACCCCCTTTACTTCTGTTTTTTTTCCTGTAAAACCTTCAGATATTCTTCTTAAATGAGATAATGAGAGCAGCCAGAGCTTGTTGCTACATCCCAGCAGCGTTTACTAAAGCATGTCAGAATTATACTTGGAAAAGTGGGGTGCTCGCTAAAATGAGGATCCCTAGGCTACACCCTCAACCTGCTGAAGCCGGAACTCAGGAATCTGCATTTTAACAAACTCAGGCAGTTCTTCAGTACACTAAAGTGGCTGAAATGAACTCAAAATCTTAAACTTTTAGATCAGAAGTTTCTCTAGCCCCTCCCTAGAATGTATTTTAATATTTGTCAATCCTGTTTAATGAAATAATACTTCTTCCTCTCTCTTTCCCTTTCTAGGTGAAGCAGAATATGGTGAATTTAACCACACATGTGAAGTTTCTTGGGATGGCTCATACAAACTTAAAGGGCTTAACATTTCTCTGGAAAGTTTCCCAGAATATTAACCAGTTTTCTGTCACATGCTGGTTTGCTTGCTTGCTTGCTTGTTTATGGAATAGAGTTGGACTGTTACTGGATTTCTTAGAAGATGTGTTTGCTAGATTTTTTTTCCGTATTTTGAAGCAATTTTCATAGAGGAGTGTCTTTCGTTAAAATCAAAGAAGTTTTGTTCCATCAATTCCATGTATTTTCCCAGTGGTGCTCCTTGAAGAGGAACAAGAGCCAGGTTGACATTGCCCTTGGCATTTGATGGCACCTGAGTATGTGTTCTTTGTTTCTGGAATGCGCTATGCTGGTTAGAGGGCTTGACTTGCCACAGCTGCCTCCTGAGCTGCCTGAAGCTGGTGCAGCGGGGTTGGCTTCTGTTACGGTGCCTGAATAAATCTTGCCAAAACAGACAGACAATGATGAAACACAAATAGAAGTTTCTACTCATGTTGGTTTGTATCTGACAATCTTGGGTATTGTTGATCCAACATAGGGCAAAACTATTTCTTATAAAGAATTTTTTTGAAAAAGTTTTACGTACTAAAATGATGCTTATCTGGAACAAAAGAAGTTCAAAAAATTTTTCATGAATTTGATTTCCCCACCTAAATGGAGACTGTGTAATCAAAACACACACATACAGGTACATGTTACTATTATTTTTTCCCCAAAATGGGATTGCAAAAGAAAGAGAGAATGAAGGGAGTTTTTATATTTCTGGAATTTTTTTATAAGCAGAATTAAGTCAGGCATGGACCAGCTTCAGCCAGAGCCAAAATCCCCCTCCCCATCCTCTCTTTGTTAAGTATGAGTTGTTATATTTGAAAACTATGAAATGAACTTAACTGAAATCCAGCAAACAGCTTCTGTTAAAAAAAAAATGATTTATATTAAACTTGGTAAAATAGATTTTTTACTTAAATCATCAATAATTAAAAGCATTATTTTAATGAAATGTGTGGGATTTATTTTCTTAAACATAGATGCTAATATGTATTACACTTTGTTTCATTGTCCGCTGTTGAAACACTTTTGTGTTTTTATTTTAGCATGCTCTAAAATCAGCCACTGGCTATTCCAAAACTTGAAGTGAATAATACCACTCTTTCCCAATGGCAAAAGACTTACCATGTCCTACAACTCTGGGAATGGCCAGAATCCAGCCTTTGACACAGGTCCTGCCTTGGGGTCTCAAGTGCCAGTGTACGTGTGATAGAGTTAGGTTGAGGGCATTTGTCTGGTTTTCTCCCTTTACCGACTTATTGTGAATGTGGTTTTCAGAATTTTGCACTGTAAGAAAACCACATCTATATTCAGGTTAGAACCAATTATCTTACCTGATCCAAATATCACAGAGCAAAGTCAACCAGTTTTCACAGCAGGTGCAGCAGATTCCTTTATATGGTCATTAAATGTGCAGAATATGTCACTGTTACGTTCTGATTGGCCACGAGAGGGCACTGAAGACTACTTTTGTGCAGATACGGATTTCTTGAATAGCGGAGCTAATCAAGCTTAAGAATGAGGCCTTGGGCTGAGTCAGGGGTGGGTGGCCTTGATGATAATGTTGGAGTAAAGGTAGCTCAGCTGGGGCAAGAAGAGAAGCTGAGACCTGGTCTCATACTGCTGCTACTAGGTTTTCATGGATTGGTCACTCCTTCCCTTCACACCATGTGCTACCCATAAGGCTTCAGGTTCCTGGCCTTAGACCGGGGTAGGGGTGGGGCTGGCCTTGGCCCAGAAAGCAAGGCAAGCCCTGATCAAGAAAAGACAAAAGTAGAAAGAGGGAGTGGCCTGAAACTACAGAGCCCAGATGGCTGCCTTTGGCAGATTTTGTCGTGACTGTACATCTGTGCTCAACTGGTCAAGGCCATTTGTCTTTACCAACTGTGGCCAATAATTATAGTTTATTCTTCAGAGTCCTCGCAGGTATGTGGTAAAATGGAGAAAACTCATTTATGAAATGAGACAGAGTTCAATGAAATAAATGCACAGATATTCTGACGAGATTGTTAATATCATGTTCCCTTCTTAGTAATATTCAGACAGAAGATCACAAAGTACTTGAAGAGGAGGCTCTACTTTCCTATAATGGGGCATATTTTTCAGTTTCAGTACTGAGAAAATAGTGCTCTACTTTGTGTAATGCTGGTTGGTCAGTATTTTTTAGGGGAATTCCTTTTGCTACAAAGCCAAGTGTTATAAATTTTCATCTGAGAAGTCCATTATGACTTAAGTTCTTTTCAGAATTAGGGGGATATGAGTCAATCAAAATGTTAATCTTTTTCTTAGTTTTTTTCCTTGGTATTGTAAGACGTATTTGTGTAGAAAATATGGAAACTAAAAAAAGCTTAAAATTCATAATTTCACCAGCCAGCATAGTTGCTAATATTTTGGTGTGTTTTCTTCCAGTCTTTGCTTCCATGAAATATTTAAACATAATCAAGATCATGCTGTATATTGATTGTCTATCATGATCCTCTCACTTTATCATAAGCTTATGTTCCTAGAAACCATTCACAAGGATGGCTTAGAATGGCTGCAGAATGTTTCATCAGATTAATGTACCCAGTCCCACTGTATTGGGACTCCATTGCTAGTGACAGAAACCTGAGTCAAAGTAGTTTATGCAAAAAGGGGAGTTCATTGCTCTTAAAATATGCCTTCAGAACTCAGTCTTCATTTCCTGACTTTTCTTTCTGCTGTGTTGGTTTTAACTGCAACCAGCAATCTTAGAGTCAAGAGGATCACCCTTCCTAGCCAGACCCTAGCCATTTCTGAATAATCACTGTGCTTGGAAATGGGGTGCCCTCTTTGGCTGAGCCTGAGTCATGTGTCCTTTACTGGAGTTGGGGGTTCAGGTCAGCACCATCAGAACCACAGGGACTGGGAGAATATTGAAGGGCAGCTCCTGAAAGGAAAATAGTGGTTATGTTAACTGAAGGGACAATGGGCAGGCAAAAACTAAGGGCTATTACCATTTTTCCCAGTTTTTGAACATTTAGGTTACTTCCAGTTTTTCTCTGTTATAAGTTAAGAATTCATATCAATTAACAGTCTTGCAAGCAGTGTATGAAAGTGCTTACTCAGTGTATTGAACTTGATAGGTAAAAATAGTATTGTGCTATTTTAATTGGCGATTCTTAGGTTATTGGTAAAGTTGAACGTTAAAGTTTTTTTATTAGCTGTTTGTTTTTCCTTTTTGTGAACCGTCAGTTTATCTTCTTTGCCTGTTTATATTTTGAGGATCATTTTTCAAATTGATCATGGTGAATTCTCTATTAAGTCTATGAAACCTTTTATTTATTAAATTTGTTACTAATACCCAGTATGTTTTCCTTCTAGGTTATTTTGTTGTTTAAAATCTATAGGTGTTTAAATTTTATGGAAAAATTTAACAATCTAATATTTCCCTTGACTTCTTTAACTTCCTTTAAACTTAGTAAATTCTTTTCCTTTTTTTTTGGTCCTTTTTGTGACTGGCCGCACTGCGCTCAGCCAGTGAGCACACCAGCCATCCCTATATAGGATCCGAACCTGCGGCAGGAGCGCTGCTGCACTCCCAGCGCCGCACTCTCCTGAGTGTGCCATGGGCTCGGCCCAGTAAATTCTTTTCCTTTGAGAAATTTGATAAATGTCAATTCAGATCTCTTCCATTTTTATGGTTTTTTACACTTAACTCATATCTATCCAGAATGAATTTTGTGTATAATGTTTATCACTTTGCTAGTGACAAAACCCAAATTATACTTAGCTCTTTTAATCTAGGTGTGAATTAACTCCATGTGCTTAGCAGGCATTTGGCTAATCTGGTGGACAGTCCATCCTGGAGACAATCTGTGTCCCCTACCATGGGCCCTAGGGACTGGAATTGGCTAAGAATGTGGCTCTGATAACACTGTCATAACCTTTGGAGGCTGTCTACTACACACACACTCCTTAGCTAGATTCTCAAGTCCCACCACAATAAAACATTAGCTGGCTTTCTCAACTTTACCATTCCTCTGAGTGTATATTCTGCCATCAACCTGAGCTGGGGTGGGCATGTCCCAACTTTTCCCTCTGGACTCTTCTGCCTTTGCCATACTCAGCCAGGCATCTCTCCACCTCCACACCCCCCTCACTTTTCAGGTCCTTGAAGGCAGAGTCTGCTGGATTGATTATCACTGTGGCCCCATAACAGCAAGTGTCAATACTTCGTTATATGTAAAAAAAAAAACCTTCAATGAAAGTATAACAACTGTTTTGCTTACAGACTTTTTATTTAAAAGTTTAGTGAATATAGTGGACAATGATGGTTGAACCTCCAACTTGCTGTGTGACTTAGAATAAAATAATTTGTTTCAGCAAAGGCATATTTAAACCCCAGACTGGAAAATTTTAATGAAACTTTGCTTGACACTCCAGACTTCAGACTCCATTAAAGAACAAAATTCCATGTTACATGCTTGGGTGGAGGTGTCTGTCTCGGGGGTGTATTGAACAACTCTCCTGCAGGTGGTCCACAAAGAAGCAGTAAATTTTGAATTGAGTTAATTATCATTGTCTTTGATTTTCAAATTTGGTGGGCAGTTAGGAACACAAGCTCGGCTGTGAGAACACTGGCTTCTGAGCCAGTTGTTCACTTACTGCAGGTGGTGTTGGGCAAATCACTCTGCCTCTCTGAGCTTTAGGCCTCATCTGTAAGGCAAAGGCAATACCTCACAGGATGGACTGCAGATCAGCCAAAATGTTCACACATCACTTAACACAAAGCCCTGCACAGTGATGATCATTGTTATGAGACGATGATCATTGTCATGATGATCATTGTCATTGTTAGGCCAGTAAAAGAGGAATCCTCAAGTCCTGGCTGTCCTGATAGCCTCCTGTCTATGAGGCTTTGGAATGCATCTTTGAGCGACAGAGTTAGTGTCAGAATCAAACACATGGCTCTACAATGGTGCTACATAGGTGCAAATCCTAACTCCATCACTAACTAGCTGTTTCATCCTGTGTGCTGCAGGATTTTCATCAGGAAAATGGAGAATAATAGTACAGTTGTTCCCTGCTTTCCGTGGGGGACAGGACCTCCCTCAAATACCAAAATCCACCCTGCTCAAGTTCCTGATAGAAATAGCATAATATTTGCATATAACCTGTGAGCACCCTCCTGTATACTTTAAATCATCTCTGGATTAGTTATAACACCTAGAACATTGTAAATGCTATGTAAATAGCTGTTACACTGTATTGTTTAGGGACTAATGACAAGAAAAAAATCTATACATGTTCAGTAGAGTACGATGTAATTTTTTTCCCAAATATTTTCAATCTGCGGTTGGTTGAATCTATGGATGTAGAGCCCATAGCTACGGAGTACCTGTAAAACACAAAAAGCATAGAACAACGTCTGATATATCAAGCACAAATAAATACTAGTTGCTTTTCTTTGCTTCAAATACCAGTTGGCAACCAATAGGTTGAGTTTTCTCAAAAATAAAAGTTATGATTGTCAAAGCACTGAATTTTATAAAATATATTTATACACAGCATTTTATCTAACGCTTGCAACAAGCCCAAGAGATAGATGGGGCACAAATTATTTTTCTTATTTCACAGAGGAAGTTGGAGTCCCCAAATGGTTAGCTTGAGGGAGTTCACACGGTGCTGTGTCAGAGCCAGTTCTTAAATCTATCTCTGTCCCCAAGAATCCAATGATCTCTCAGCTGTTGGTGACATATGGATCCTTTGAAGAAATGCCAGTTGTTCTAAAGGTGTGTTGTATAGAAATAGCAAGTCCCATGTGTCAGAAAACTCCAGGTTTTCACAGGTTAGGGCAGGCAGTGTGACCTCTGAAGCCAGATCGCCATATTCAAATCCCAGCTTAAC